ACAAGAAAGAAAAGCTGTTAACGGCAAGCCGAAAAGCAAATACGCTACTATTAAATATTAACACATATTTTATACTTTATAAGGTAATATGCTTACACTCTATAATCAGCTAAATGTATGCCTATATATATACAGATAGAAAGTTAGCTGTACTTCTATTCGTCTTGCTTCTTCTTCAATGCGTGTACATACTTGACGACTATTTGAGCATACCCTCTGCTAGAGCATAAAAATGAACTGAACGCGTCACGGAAAACTCGTTAATGCAGGCGAAGATTTCACTTGGAGGTCGGTCTGGCTGTGCCAGGCCAGACCCACCTAAGTCCCAGGCATTTTAATCAGCGTGTCGCATAATTACCGGATGCTGTTGAACGACGCTGTCGGGACTGGGACCGGGACCGGGACCGGGACTGGGACTGGGACCGGGAGTCAACATGCTCATGCCAAGCGCAGAAAGACAGGGAGAGAGCATGAAAAAGTGAGCGAGAGAGTGGCAGATGGGTGAAAGAGTGAGGGGGAGGGGGTGTAGGATACCGAAGAGAGAGATATTCAAAATCATAACAAAAAATGATGGATGAATTGTCGCGCTGCTTGACTCCAATAAAAATAACTGTAAATGCCGCTAGGCAGCTGTAGATTTCTAGGGGGAGATCAGCAGCAGCCAAATTAAAATTATGTTGCACACACCAAAAAAAAAAACACGAGAGATATGTTATATATATATATATGCTGTTTTTTTTTTTAATTCTAGTTATCTGCGCGAGCGGAGGCTGCAGTGAAAGTTGCCGCGTCTGTCTGAATTCGAAGTATTGAAAATATTAATAGAACAAACTTGTTTTGACGGAAATGCACTTTACTTTATTTATCATAGTCCGGCAGCTGCTGCGCATTCGGTTTTGGGATGAATGAAGCAACATGTGGAGAGGGTGCAGCAGCCGCAGCAGCAGCCGCAGCAGCAGCGGCAGCGGCAGCAGCAGCGGCAGCGGCAGCTCCTATGTCGATGCTTCTGATTCTGCTGATTCTGATGATCGTGACGGTGCCTGCATGCATGCGTGTGTGTGTGTGTGCTAGTGTTAATGTGTGCGTGTGTTTCTCTTCGTGCTCGTATATTTATGCAGATAGATGGCCGGAAAAGATAAAGTATCGGCGCAGTTTCAGCTAGAAGTGCAAATATGTATCCAAATATGTACACATATACATACACATATCTTACACATACATTTCTATGTGCATATGTATATACATTTGTATAGATGTGGGTATACCTAGCACTCCCTTCTATATGCATGAGCCGCTGGAGCTAGCCTCTGAGCATTACGCTAGACATTTAGCTGGATTCGTAATATTCACAAAAAGCGCCGCGAAATTATTGAAACGTTGAAGTTTCTAATAAATTAGAAATATTATAAAATATTAAACTAAATAATACCCCAATAATAATTAAGAATAGAATAGAAATTGAAATAGAAGAGATCCAATTGTTGGTAAAGAACTTGGTAATTTTTACTACCGAAATCTTCGACTAATAGAATAAAACGATAAGAAACTTATGCATATAACCAATAATAATTAAGAAAATAAAAACATAACCCAACAAAGTCGAAGTCCATTTCCTATTTATGATAAGGAACTTAGGAACCATAGAATAAAACGAAAATAAATTTATATATTCCACATTATGATCATCATTTACTGTTATAAATGTTTAAAATTTAGTTGAAATGAAAATCAACAAAACAAAATAAAGCTAATGTTATTCCAAATCAAAATCAGTTCAGTTTTAAATCTTTACGAAACCCATTTAAACAGTTGAATAATTGCTTTGGATTATGGGATACGCATGTTTGTATTTTGGGCGCTCGCAAATTTGGATTGCTTTGGAGTATTACGTCAACGTGCACGGGTTTCGCCTGTGTTTGATTGTCAGATGATGGCTTTGTTAGACACTTGACATCATCAGGAACAATGCTCATCAGTTGCCACCTCGCCCCTACCCCTGCCCCCACCACCACCATCCCAATTGCCGCACGATGCTTGTCAAGGTTTATTACAATGTAACCACAGAAAAGCTTTTGGCTTCAAGCGGCTGTCATGAGTTATTAGAAACGCGAAAGTGCTTAAAGCAACAACAACAACAGTCAAGTTGTTTATGTTGCACATGTTGTTGTTGTTGTTGTTGTTGCTGCTGTCGAGCATGGCCCATAGCCAAAGTTCAAGTAAGGTTGAAACCATTTGTCGGATTAAATACGCGCCGCGGTAATTATGTGCTTCGAGTCGAAGCAACAGCAACAGCAACAGCAATATACTCGCAGCAACATAGACAACAAGGCAAACAAACCGACAAGATCCGACCTCCGCCCATGCCCAAACCCATCTCCAGCTCCAGCTCCAGCCGAAACAAGTTTCCAGTTTGAAAATTGAACAACGCCAGCGATAAGGCAGCCGCACAAAGTGTCAAATGAATTTGTCGCACTCGGACTCGGGACATGGACAACGACAGCAACAACAACAGCAACAACAACAGCAACAACAACAGCCCCCAGAGCCAACATGACAATAAAAACAAATTTAACTGCCGAAATGACGAACCAACAACAACAACAACAACAACAAGGAGACAATCAAACAATCACGTGAGTTACTCACAAAACACAACCCCAACCCCCCAATATACACACACACACGTACACACACACACACATTTGTACACCTGTGTGTGTGTGTGTGCGCACAGGTGCTTCCGTTGCAGGACGGATGTGCGTATTTGTTGAATTTCGTTTACACCTGTTGCAGCAACACGGAAAGCACATCAAAGCGAGCAGGCGAAAAACACGCACGAGCAACGACGGGCAATGCATACAAAACCGCAGACGACTTCCGCTGCACGGGCCCAGACCCAGGCGCAGGCGCAGGATCAATCAGAGCCTACAGAGAGGAGTCTGGGAGACCTGTTTCTTGCCAGGCGAGGTGAGTTGGCGTTTTTATACCCTGTTAAATGGTTAAGAAATAAGGTATAATGGCTTAATGTATGTGTATGTAACAGCAGAAGGAGACAGCTTCGACTTCATATGGTAATATATGTATATACTATATATACCAGAACAGGACGACGAGCTGATTATCTTCAGCTATATCTGTCAATATCTAAAACTAAGACTGGATCTTATTCTAGATCTAGAGACTTCAATTAAAACCATATTTTCCTGTTTATCATACGAGTACCCCTCTTTTCTTTTACTGCCCCCAATTACCATAATATCTTTAAATATAGATTTTAAAACAAGGTTTTTTAAGCATTACACGGAGATTATGTGAGCTACGCTGTCTAGCATATCGCTCTCTCTCTCTATACATATATATATTTCATATAGTTCACTTATCGATTACCTCTCCCGTTCTTTCCAAAAAAACTGTACAAAATCTTATTCCTATATACATATACACACACATTTATGTGCTGTATTTAAGCCCTGACAATTTCATAAAAATCGGACAATAAACACCTGAGTTACTCAAGATGTTTGATAGAAGAAAGTTAGAATGTTTATAACAGCAGCTGGGCACAGGGTATATGCTAGTCGGGTACTGCCGACTAGAGCACTCTTTGTTTTTTTTTTTTGTTCTTTTCGCCGGATAAGATCGGATGACGATCACACGGAGCTCAGACGCAATCTGGTTGCTGTTGATATGCGTATGCGAATTCATAATGATTTCATTGATCTGTCATTCAGGAGCTTCCAGCATGACGGCAAAGCTCTTTAATATGCATATCTCTCTCTCTCTGTGTGCGTGTGTGTGTGTGTTGTATATATGTGCGCCTGTGTGTGTGTGTGTGTGTGTGTCACTGATAACGCTTCCCGTCTCAAGCTCATTAGAGCAGCTCGCTTCAAAGGCCAATCTCTGTGGAGATGCACCTTCAGCCAGCAGACACTGTGGAGCGTCCGAAGCTCAAATAGCGGTAATTTTGTTGCAAGCGCATGCAGCGATATCAACTGGGGCATGCCACGCAAGATGCTATCAAACTAATGCGTATAACTTGTCGGAAATGATCAAATGTTGAACGATAGCCGCCTCGATAACGGATATGCAGCTGCATATCTAGGCAAGATGCAATATCTAAGCCAATTGCATGGTCTTAGATGAGATGCTGTCCATTTGTATGGAAGAAATAACATAGAAACTTGATTGATTATGTTATGTTATGTTATGTTATGTTATGTTATGTTATGTTATGTTATGTTATGTTATGTTATGTTATGTTATGTAATGTTATGTTATGTTATGTTATGTCATGTTATATTATGTTATGTTATATTATGTTATTTTATGTTATGTAAAATTGTAAACTAGAACAAAGATCGGTTAATCCTGAGAACAAAACAATATTTAAATTTGTATATCATATCAATTTCAATATAACTAAAGGAACATGTATTCGCCAGATAATATATACTTCCGATTACTTACTGTGTGCTAAGTCCTGCATTATGACCAACGTCCTCACATCTCCGACTCCAAAATTCACTCAAAATTCCCTAATTGTCTCTTTTAAAATTTGGACTTCCAAAAGATTTGCAATAGGATTAAGGTCGAACAGTCCATAATATACATATGTATATACATATGTATATTTGTTGAGAAATACTTGACATTTATTTATTTTCTAAATATTCCAATTGTTTATATTTATATTCATGAATCTGCAGCTGAACTTATCTGTGTTTACTGCTGCAATTGGGCATTATTTACGGTTAGTATCTCAGCTTTTGGGTGCCGAATTTCAAAAGCTCTCAATTTACACACACAAGCACACACACACACAGGCAAATAAAGAGGCGCATTTGCAGTTATTCGAACTGGCCCGTTCAATCCATTTACCATGGGAAGGCACTTGGCAACCGTTGCAGCAGCTCACTTTGTGCGTCTCTTATCAACTTCATTCATTAGAGCTGTCAGTGCGTGCGTGTGTGTGTGTGTGTGTGTGTGTGTGCTTGGTTATTGAGAGAGCAGCAGGCGAGCCAATACAGTTACTCAAATGGCAATACTTGCATGCCATCTACTCGCTTCGTTAAATATAGCACACTTCAATAAAAAAAATGCTGTGCCAACGTTTCAGTTCGGTTTCCATTCATCAATATAAGAAAGCGACCCAAACTGTGTCAATCAGCGACAGCGACAGCGATAGGAGACAGCGACAGTGGCAGAGACAGCGGCTGCGGCAGAGGCAGAGCCAGAGGAAGAGGCGAGGACAGCGATGAGGCAAAGACCAGTTTAAAGCGAATTGGCAGGTCTCGTGCGCTTATCAGACCCGTTCGCCATCTCAGTTTGTTTGTTGGGTGTGTAGTGTGCCGCAAAGTCGCTGATTACAGTTAAATTTAGTTGTTGTTTTTTTTTTCTGCTTATTTTTTTGCATAGGCAAAGGTGACCCGGCGAACTGTGGGGCTATCAGCGGCGACAAACATGCACGCATACTAACACACACACACACACACTCGCACACACACACACAGACACTCGCTCAAGTGAAGAGCGTTTGAAATTTGCGTTGGGTTGGTTTGACTGACCGCGCGAATTATGATTGAATAATGTGCCCACAACGAGGGTCGCAGCCGTAGTCGCTTGCCAGTCAATTATGCAAAACGGTTACTGCACTTTGCATTAATTAACAACAAGAACAGAAACAGCAACAACAACGACAACAACAGCAGCAGCAAATGCAAATAACTAATAGACACAAACTCTTTGCTCCGCAGTCATACAATTTGCACGTGTCGTGCCTAGGCCTAAGCTCAGCTTGCAAGGCAAACAGCTGTTCTAAGAGAGAGAGAGAGAGAGAGCGAATGGGAGAGTGAGTGGGAGAGTGAGTGGGAGAGTGCACAAAGCGCAAGGCAAGAAATTGCTGTTGTTGTTATTGCTGCTGTTGTTATTGTATTGTATGCTGCCTCCCTTCCAGTGTGAGTGAAATATTTTGCAGTTAAATTTAAATTGAATGTGTGTGCGTGTGTATTTATGTTTGTGTGCGCTTGCAACATTTTCAGTAATTTAAAAATAAGTGCGCCGACGAACAGCGGCCCCAAATAGCATCCGCGAAATGCAGCAACAGCAGCAGCAGCAGAAGCGGCGGCAGCAGCAGCAGCGTCGTTTGCCACTGGATTGGCCCATCCATGCCATGTGATGCGTGTGCAGCATAATCGAGTGAGAGAGAAATGGCCAGGGGCTACGGCAGCGGCTGCGGCTGCGGCTGTGGCTGCGGCTGGAGCAGCAGCAGGCGGGTCTCCGGTCGGTCCGTGTGCGCGAGATAAACAAACTGCCAGTTCACTATCAATCAAATACCGGAAACAGCTGCTTTAGTTTTATTTTGCCATAGCCATTTGGCACAGCAACACACACACACTCGCACAAGCACAAACACAAACACAAACACACACACACACATGGGCAGACAGACAGCAGCGATTTAGGCGACGGCTGCATCGTCGTCGTCGTCGTCGTCCACGTCATCGTTCATTTCAACGCACACACACACACGCGCACGCACATGCACACACACACACACACACACGCACATATTTGTGTGTATGCAAATGAAAATAGAGTCTCGGTTAATATTTAGTATTATATGATTTTTTTTTTATTTTGTAGTTTTTAACGGAACATACATTCTAAAAACATTACATAAAGTTCTGCCATCATCATCATCATCATCATCATCATCATCATCATCATCATCATCATCGGCGTCGGGGGGTCTAGACACCGTCAAGCCCCGACGCGGCATCATTCACCAACGACTACTCAGTTTATTTAATTATAGTAAAATGTACAAATAAAATAAATATTCATTATATGTATAGCTTGTATGTATGTATAGTGCCTTAAATATTAATCGTTTACTAAATATTCTCTGCATCCAGTTTTCTTTTCACTTCTCCTTCTTCTTCTTCTTCTTCTTCAACTTTTACTCTTCTCTTCACTATCCTTAGGGAGTTTGTTTTTGCATTTAGTTTGTTTTTTATGTTTTTTGTTTGTTTTTCTGTTTTGTTTATATCTCTTTTAATAGTTAGGTTTTTTAAGCATAGTATATGTTTGTTTTGTGCATTACTCAGCTATTAGCTTATACTATAACATATACATTTATAACATATGGTAAATTGTTTTTGTGTGTTTTTTTTTTTTATTTTTCAACATTAATTTTTTGTAAATTTTGTCGCTTCTGCTAATCGATTTATGTAGCTTCATTTTTCTCATTTTCTCCAGTTTTGCATATATAAAATTCTTGTTGTATTTTGCTGCATATAAATTGATGTATTTAAGAATTTGTTTGACTTTTGTTTTATTTTTATTTTAATTAGTTTTTTGTTTGTTATTTGGAATTTTTTTTGCATTTGTTTTTGTTTAGAATAATTTGCTGCTTGATTTTCTAGGCATGTGTCGAGGAATTGTGCGCACAATTCAGTATTACTTTTTACCAAAGAAAAAAAAAAACTACAATTTTTCATATAAAATACATTAATAGGAAATTAATTTTCGTATCTGTTTTTTTTTTTAGTATTTTTTATAAAATTATGTTATCAGTTTTTTGTTGTTTTTTTTGCTTATTTTCCTGTAGTAAAGTAAACTTTTTATGGCCAACTGACTTTAGATTCCACATATGTACACAACACACACACACACACACACACACATGCACATACACTCACACATACGCACACATAAGCACATTTAGACAGATCTTTAGCTGGACTTAAATACCAAAATGTGTTTTATTTATTAATTTTTCTTCTTTTTTTTTGATACATAATATTAGCCGTTAAATTCGTACCGCGTTTGCTCTGCTTCTTCTTCTTCTTTCATTTGCTGCTACTATATAGATCGTATATAGACATAAAATGTGCATAATTTTGAATACTCTTTCTTTATAGTTTTTTTATGCATTAGCTACAACATCAAAATGGACTGTTATCTTAAAAATGTTTGCCTTGTTGCTGTGTCTTGTGTTAAGGTATATATGTATATATATATGTATGTATGTATGTATGTATGTATGTGTGTATATATATGTATGCATATATGTTTTCATTAGGTTTTGGCGCGTATAAATATATTTATCTAAAAGTTGCTCTTTCTCGCTTGTTTCCGGCTGGGTTTACTTTACAGACTGTGTTCATTGGTGTTCTCGAAATATTATTGGAATTATTTGCTTGCATTGAGAAAAAGTTGACTTTGAAAAGTTTAACAAAACCATCGAAAAAAACAAAACAACCTCGCCAAAAATTAATAATGCAAAATATATTTGAATACAAAAAAAAATAAAAACATTGTTTGAAAACACATTTTAATTGAATGCGTTGTCGCTCGTTTTAGTTTTAGTTTTTGTTTGTTTTTTTTGTTTTTAGTTTTGTTTGAATTAGTTTTTGTTTAAATTAAGCGAACATTATTTTTTAAATAACATTTCTAATAATTAATAATTATCTGTTTGCAGTCTTTGGTTATTTATTTTTTCTTTTCTTTTTTCCTTTTTTTTTTTAAAACATACATTAAACATTTTTTTGTTTGTATATCTTTCAAATCATACAATTAATATTTGTATATATATATATATATATATATATATAGGTGTATATCTTTAAGTCATACATTTAATATTTGTATATATAGGCGTATATATATATAAATTTCGAAGCTCCCCACTCTCCGTCCCGCCCTTGTTTAAGCTTACGTCGTGTGTCGCGTTTTTTACGCGCGGCAAAAAACGCGCACAAAACGCGCGCTCCGCCTTCCACCGCATTCTGCGCTGTTTAGTAGTCCGGACTGGAGTCGAGCAGCCGCTTCTCCGGCGTCAGATCGCCCTTGCGCAATATCCGGCTGGCCGCGCTGCAGCCATGCTCGAATCCCTTGCCATTCGCCTGGAGCCCGCCATTTTGTGATCCATTCAAGCCGCCGTTGCCGTTGCCGTTGACGTTTGGCATGCCGCCGCCGCCGCCGCCGCCGCCGCCGAGAGGCACAATGGGCATCATGCTGCTGGTGGAGCCGATGCCGCCGGCGCTGGAGCCGCAGTTGTTGGCATTGTTGCCCTGGCAGCGGCAGCCGCGACCCGCGAACCGTGCGTAGCACTTCTCGCAGAGCTTGATGCAGCCGCGCATGGGCCAATAGCACCAGAGGCAGGGCAGCACAATGGAGAGGGCGCCCAGCCAGCCCCAGCGCTGGGTGCGCTTGTAGGGGCCGCAGGAACAGGGATTATCGACGCAGGGTGTGCCGGTGCCATCGTCGCAGTCCATGTCGTTGTCCCGGGCGCAATGGTAGAACAGCGCCTTGGCGCAGCACAGGCACGAGGCATAGTCGATGATGGACTCGGCGCTGCACAGGCACGTCTTGTTGCACACCCAGGTCTGGGGCAGCGGTCGGGGGCTCTGGCACTGCTCGCAGCGGCACATCCCGCACCGTGGACAGACAATCGGATTCAGCAGCGACGGATCTCCGCCCATCACAATGGACGCGCCCAGCTGGCCACCGCCGCCCGGCAGCCCCTGCTGATGATGATGCTGCTGCTGATGATGCTGCTGCTGGAGCAGCTCCTCCAGGGCATGCATGTGCTCCTTGCCGGAGGCGGGCTGCTTGGTGATCGGCTGCGTCAATGGCTGCGCTGTGGCTGCCGCCGCAAAGCCCAGTCCGAGGATGCCGCGTGGCGCCGGCGGAGGCGGCGGACCAAACTTGGAGGCGGGTGTTGCTTTGGTGTGGCCATTTAACTGATGCGGTTGCTGCTGCTGCAGCTGCTGTGGATGATGCTGCGCGGGATTGTGGTGCAAATGCGAATGTAATAAGCCATCGGTGCCATCGATACCCGCCGCTGTCGCTGTCGCTGCCGCTGCCGCTGCTGACGCTGACGCTGACGTCGACGTTGACGTGGTGACCGCCGCCAGTCGATTAATGTGATGGGCATGTTGTGTGTGGGTTGCTCCTCCTGGCGCCTGATGCTGTTGGTGCTGCCGCTGGGGTAGCAGCAGGAGATGATGCGTCGTTGTCTGGCCGTTGTCCTGCTGCCCGGCCGGATGCTGGCTGCGCGTCGCATGCTGCAGCGGCGTGTCCACATACTCATTGGTGAGCCTTTCGGATTCGGGTCGCGGTTGCGCCAGCGTGACGGGGGAGGCGGGCGGCTGACCCGTTGACAACAGTGCCGACACGGGCTCAGCGCTTTGGAAATGACTAAGGAAGTGGTTGTTGTTGCTGCTGCCGATGCTGCTCCCTCCGACGGGGGTCAGCAGCGGTGCGGGCGGACGGCGACGCGTAAAGCTGGAGGTGGAACCAGCGCTGCTGTTCGCCGTGGCCGTCGAGGAGGAGGCGTTGCTGCTGTTGCGGCTGAGGCTGCTCGGACGCTGCGGCAGAAATGTCAGATGATGTATCTGATAGTCGTCGAAGTCCGCCGTTGTGGGTATAATAGATATCGTGTTGTTGTTGTTGTTGCTGTTGCTGGTGTTGCTGGTGTTGCTGGTTGTTGTTGCTGTTGCAAGTGTTGCAGTGTTTGTGCTAATACTCGGATTGTTGTTGCTGCTGCTGTGGCTGTTGCTGCTGCTGCTGTCGCCACCTAACGCTGTTGGCTCCGGCGCCCTTGGTCGATGCACGCGCGGTAGCAGCTTTGGGGGCCGGGGTGGCGCCAAGGGATCGCCGCCATTTCTGCGATCCATGAAGTGCTTCAAAGGCCAATTCCAAACACCAGCCTTGCAGACTGCACTGCACTGGGGCTAGGTCTACAACAACGGTTGCGCTGCGCTCCAATGATTCGGCCCCTCAATAGTTCCCTCGGTAGTTGCTGTGCCCAAAATCGTTGCGATTTGCCTTCATCCTAGCGCACGTGCTGCTCCGACAATTTGCCAAGCACAGCGGCGATTGCTTTCTGCAAAACAATGAATAAGAAAACAAATATTAATAAAATGCATTTCAATTGTTTTTTCTTGCAACCAACTGCAGCTGCCTTCGCATGGCACGTTCATATTCTCATTTGGATTCTTTCAAAAGTTTCCAAATTGAAGGCCACGCCCCCTGCAATATGGCACGATTTCGTTTGTTTTTGTTTTTACTCTGCTTATTTAGTTGAAATATACAACTTATCTTGTTTATAATTAATTGCTGGCTGTGCCATCAAAAAACAGCTAAAAACAACAACAACAACAACTTAACTTTGGTCAGCTCAACGTCCAAGAAAAAGGTCAAAATCTTTGGCGTGACTTTTGTGTAAACATAATGCAAAGCTTTTTTTTGTATGCCCTGTTGCCATGGCATATAAACAATTGGGTATGCTATTTCTAGTCAAAAGTATATAAGACTAAGGAATAGTTTAAAAATATCTAAAACCAAGAAACAATAAGTTGCCAGTTCAACTTCAACGGCAATTTAAGAAAATACATAGGTGCATGATTTTTTATCTTAACATCAATAACAGCAAATAAAGTTTATATAAAATGTAAAGCCAAGAAATGTGAAGTTGCCGGTTCAAACCCAGCAGCAATTTTAAAAAATATAAAAGTATATAAAACTGTTATCTTAACGTCCATAACATTTTGGTAAATTTTATTTTAATATGTAAAACCGAGAAGCGAGAAGTCGCCGGTTCGAACTCAGCATAAATTAAAGTTAATAACTTTAATTTTTCAATTTAGTTTATATATTTTTATCTTAACCTCAATAAAAGCTGATAAGCTTCGTTTTACAATTAAAAATGGAGAAGCAAGAAGTCGCTGGTTCAAACCCAGCAGAAACACACAGAATCTAAGAATCAGAAGAATCAATTAAAATATTTGTTATTGCAGGGTAGCTCGTAATGGAGCACTCTTTGCAGCTGCCCCCCTTTCGAGCTGTTTATTTAGAGTTTGTTTTAATTTTTATTTTTTTCTTCTTCTTCTTTCAAATGTCTCGAACTGGCACTAAACATTAAAATTCAGTTGAATTCGCCGCGTGGACACATGATATTTTCAAGATTAAAGCTTGTGGCTCCCTAAATGTGAGTTTTGCTAATTTGACCGGGTTTGGATTTTGTTTTTGTTTCTGTTTGTTTTATTAAAGGGAATCATGTTTAATGGGAATTCCGCAGAACTGCGCTAGGCCTTTGTTTGGCTATGTTTTTGCTGGAATTACGAATTGGGCTTTCGGACTTCTCACTTAATTCTATAGACAAGACTTTGCAGTCCAAGCGTTGGCTCCAATTATAATTTGTTATTTAATTTATTTAATTTACTTTTTTGTTTTTTTTGTTTTTTAATCACCTTTGAACATTTGAACCGCATAACCTTGATTATCTTTTAATAGCCACTCCCGCGGTTCGTAAAAATTGCAAATAAAAGTAATTTTTGGCGCATTATCGCTTTACCCATTTTAATTGCTTTCTATTATTAATAAAATATAGTTGTTTTTTTTTTTGGTACGGAAATTAGAAAAGGCAGCAATTAAAATTGTCTAGAAATGGAAATTACTTATTTGTTTGTTGCTGCGAGAGATCACTGTACTTTGACTATATCCAATTAATGCGATTTTGGAGGCGATTAAAGACCAAATATAAACATGGCCATTATTAAATGCGTGGCACGAGTCGCAAATAGGTAAATACAGGAAATTAATAAAGCCCAAGATGCTCCATATAAAAATATATATGTTATGTGTATATACATATATATATATATATATGTGCGATAGCTAATGGCCAATAAAAAGCGTCAGGCATTAGTATTATTATGAGTGCTTTGCAGCTTACAAAGCTGCTCGCCTGAAATGCGAACAGCAACAACAACAACAACAAGAAAGCAGGCAAAATGGATCTTTATAGATTCACCTTTACATAAGTATGTATGTATATGGCTATATGTACACACAGGCACACAGAATATATACATGTGTGTGTGTGTGCGTGTGTGTTGGTATAAAAATTAACACAAACGCCCACTTATTGACGTCATGTCCGGTACTCAAAAACAATTTTCGAGAATGACCACAATTGAGAAAAACAAAATCGAAATAAACAGCCAACAGATGAGGAATGGGCTTTCGGCCAGCCTAAGAGCCAACCGGGGAGGGGGGGGCGGTGCGGTGCATTGCTGCTGATTGCCAATAAGAAAAACTATAGGAAAATAAAAAAAGCAAAAGGAATAACAAAAAGCGAAATACTCGACGTGTGTGTGTGTGTGTGTGTGTGTGTGTTTGCCAATCGTTTTGGCTCGGCAAACGTGATTTGAAATTTTCCTTTTGATTTTCATTTCGTTTTTAATACAAAATTTTCGATTTTATGTTATTGTCAAATGTTGTTGTTGTTGTTGTTGTGCAAATGATTGGCTAATTTATTAACATTAGACATTAAAAGGCGAATAAATATGAAATTAATTAATAAATACACGATTAAGGTGCCAGCGTTTACTTCTGCCCGTCTCCAAAGTTTCCTATTATTCGTATTTGGCCTAAATTTGAATACATAATTATTTGTTTATTTATTTATTTATTGCTTTGTCTATTGCTTTGGCCACGCCCAAAAACCAATAGCATAAAAAAAAGCAACGCAGCGCCAAGATTTTCGATTTCATTCTTAAATTAATTGGCACAGTACACATTAACACAAACAAAAAAGATTTTATTAAAAAAAATGCACGTAATTTATAAAGATTTTTCTGATTTTTAATTGCTTTCGAATATTGTTGAATTGTTGCTGTTCATTTAAGTTGTTGTTGTATTTTAAACTTTGCCGCCAAGCAGCACGCAGCGCTGGCAAGCTCTGACCTTGGCCAGAAGTGCTGAAAAAGTGCTGCCAATTTTTTATAAAGTACATAGCACACATATTTTTAACATTGCTGTCTCTGTTCAAGCTGCTGCTGCGGCTGCGGCTGTTGCTCTTAATGTTATTGCTGCAACTGCTGTTGCTGTTGTTGTTGTTGCTACTGTTATTGTTGTTGCTGGCTGCTGCTATTGCTTATGTTCTTGTAGTTGCTGTTATTGCTGCTGCTGTTATTGCAACTGTTATTATTGTTGCTGATATTTTTGCTGTTGCTGCTACTGTTATTTTAGCTTCTACTCCTATTGCTGTTATTGCTGCTGCTGCTGCTTCTGCTACTATTGCTGCTGCTATTAATAATTCTGTTATTGTCACTGCTATTGCTGCTGTTGCTGCTGCTGTTATTGCTGCTGCTGCTCATTGAGTGTCGCACAAAACGAAATTTGCCATTTGAATTTGAAACGTTTTCATTAATAAGTGAACTTGACGTTGCGGGCGCCACAGAACAAGTCACAAGTTGTCGTCGCCTTCGCCGTTCGCTGCTGGCGTCGCAGTCGCAGTCGTTGTCAGCGTCCGCGTCAGCGTCAGCGTTGTCGTCTTTCATTCAAACGATTCGACGGGTTTTTTTTTATGTGGCCATTGTATCTTTTTTTGTTTGTGGTTTGTTGTTGTCGGTGCCTGTTGCAATTCAAATAGAATTATTTAAGGCAGACAACCTGCAGCAACAACAGCAACAGCAACAACAACAGCAACAACAATGCGCTGCGTTTTTATTTAAAAATAAACTCAGGCAAATCAAATGCAAACAGGTTTTATTATTATTATTCTTTATTTATTTATAATTCTGCTGCGTTTTTTTTTTGTTTTATTCTCAAATTGTTGTTATGTTTGCTGTGCTGGTTTTTAAGCCGGGGCCACTTCTGAGGGCCGTGCCTCGTGGGCGGCGTTGACATTGGAGTTGCAGCTGAGCGTGGTCGATGGTCGAGGGAGGGGCAGGGGCAGGGGGCGAGAGGGGTGGTCGGTGGGGTGGTCGCGCCGCACTGTCATTTATATGCAATTAATTGAACGCTTAAGAAATGTCAGCATGACCCAATTATCATAAAAATATAAATAAAAATAAAACAAAACAACAACAAAAACAACAACAGCAAGAAAACCTCGATAAAAGCCAATTTTATGAACTAGTCATAAACGTTAATACAAAACGCATTTAAGCCACGTAATTAATGGACATATTTAGCCAAATTAAATGTGGCAATAAAATTTGCAGGCGAAGCCTCCGTAAATAAACAGCTTAAGATCTTAAATAGCTATTCACATGTTGTCTGAATTCTTTTGATTACATTTACTTAAAAGCAGGCGATGATAATGCCAGTACAGTGGGCACACGCTAACAAAAACTTTCGCAAATAAAGTCCACCCAAGAGATTGCAAATGATATATATCTATATATATGATATGATATGATATATAGAGAGATAGGGCTTATAGAGATTTGGAGTTCGATTCGATTTCGTTTCGTTCCGTTTAGCGGGCATTCACTGTATTGGGGCATCACGTGGTACGGGGCGTTTAAATATTTCTGCTATTTTAATTAATTTGGCAAAAATCGCTGAACTGCGGAAATTTACAATAATTTCTGAAACAGTCAGCAATGGCTCCGTCTATATAAATCGACACATATATAGACATACATAGATACATATATATTTATATATAGTAACAATGTATTTCAACTATATTATTATAAATTTAAATCAGAGCTAGCATATTTAAGATTATTGGCTCGTGCGCTCTTATCATTATTATTATTATTATTAAAATATTATTGTTCATTTATGCTTATATCATACTGGGGCGCTTCTAGGGCACGAGAGGGGGGGGGGTGGAGAGCGGGGAGAGTGCGGCACTTTTTGCTGCTGCTGTGGAAATGTGTTCGTTTTGAATGCATTTTGGCGCGACGCCTGCTAAAAATATGTGCGAATCTGCCTGAAGGGCGAGCATGCGATACAGATACAGCTACAGATACAGATACACAAGCCAATGCAGTTGCAGTTGCAGATACAGATACAGCTGCTGGCGGCGACGGCGACAAATGAAAAACCTACACAGGAAACACTAATGACTGCAGGCAAAGAACTGCG